AGTTGAATAATGAATACAATCAGTATGTAGAAGATTCATTAAAACATTTTGAAACACTTTTATACATTATTTTCTATATTTTTTTTCTTTTTGGAAGCATTATTATTTCAATGATATATATAATAATAAAATATATTATAAATACACATGTTTGAAATTCATATTATAAATAAATTTATTGTAAATTAAGTTAATATAGCAAATAATAAGTAATATAATATAAATAATTTTTTATTTACTTACAAAGTACTTTCTATTATTAATTATACAACTTTTTTTTAAATATAAAAACAAGTGATAAACGATATTGCAAGCAAAAACAACATTAAAACGGACACAAAAATCTATAGAAATTTCATTTCAATACCTACAGAATAAATTTTTTATTTCAAATGTAGACAGAACGAGATTTTTGTTAATATACCGAAATATACGTAAAAGAGTAATGTTTTCATGCTATTTTAAAATATTTTTATTAATTTTAGAAACAATTGCTGAATTGCTTGAAATAATTCATAATGCAAAAAAATAACATTCAAATAACATGATGCGAAATTAGAAAAAAAAAGATATTAATCTTGTCAGAGAAAATACAAGAAATTGTCATGGTGAAAAATAAATATCGAATATAAAACTAAATCTCGGTAAATTCACATGCGCTCTCATTTGTTATACGAGATCATTTGACATACATGTGATACCCAATTATAACGTCTATTGTATTTATTATTTATTATGCCGAAAAAATATAACGACTCTGCGTAGCAGCGACCTTTTAACGAAATTCTATAATGATAAACCAACGAGTCGAAATGGTATGACTGTCCCAGATATCCTCATATCTGGGACAGATATCAAACGAAATAAATAGAAACGTTAATAATTGTGTGTTACCTGTACAAAAAAGAAACGTAAAATTTCACACTCAAAATTGCTTTACAAAATCATTATTTGTAAAAATAGGTAAACTTAAAAGTCTTCCGCACATAACGTAAAATTTCGCTGTGTTTTTATTTTACTTAGCTGTGCAGAATACAATTACATTGCTTGCTGATTAAATAGAAGCGACATAAGAACATCTTAATTAAAAGACTTATTAAAAATCAGAAATTTAATAAAATATTCTCTGTCACAAAATGCATCTACTAAAAAATGCATTGGTATCAACATACGTCTTCCTAATTAACTCAAGAATATCTTCATTTTTTTATATTATTATACACAGAAACAGAAGCAGAATAGTATCTCGTTAAGAAACAGAATAGTATCTCTAATCATTTATTGATTAGATTGACTCCCGAAACTGGAAACTATTAACATGATTGTATCGAAATTTCTTTTTTTTTGTGTTTCACGGTGAGTTTAAAATCTGTTAACACATAAATAGTAATTTCTTCATAAATTGTTTTTTGGGATATTTTAAAGCTTAGAATGTTTAAAGTATACATATTCTTCTTGTTCTTGAAAATGGGAAAAATGTAGATTTTATAAATCATAATTTTTTTCCCTGAAAAACATATAGGCGAAATATAATTATTAAAAATGAAATGTATAGTTATGGAGTATTCTTGATATCTCAGTGTACATTTTTCGGTTCAAAGATTTTACAAAAATTTTCCCTATGTGTTACTTTGTCAAAGCTTTAACTAACAAATTGTAACTAACAAAGTTCCAGAAATTATTTATTTACATGATTAACAGAGAGAAAAACTATTTTATGTAGCAATAAAAAAATTATTCAGAGTAAAAAATAAAGTAATATTTTTATAATTAAAAATGAAAAATTTTGGGGGGAGGGTGGGGAGGGAATTGATTTCCAATCTTCTCTCCTGAATATGCTTAGGTTATTAAATAATTACACATCTGGATCTTGGAACACGTATTACAATAGTATAAATTTTGAATAATTTCTAGTAGAAGAAAAAGAAGCAATTTTTTAAATGTATTCTGAGATGCAGAATTCGAATCCGCCGCCCAAAAATTTCATCAGATCTTTGAAATATAACCTATCAATTTTAAGATATATTGTGTCATTCTTAAGATACAATATATCAACTTTTAAGATATAACATTTCTTTCCGAATAATTTAGATGCGATGAGCAAAGCGAGCTCCATTCCGAATTTCCATTGAAATTTGATGATAACTGAGAAATGTTATCAGTAGGCATACTGGGACAAAAACATGTTAGACGAATGCTATTGAACTCTAATACATGAAACCGATTCGAAGTCACGAAAATGAAAAATAAACACTTAACTCAACACTTTTGATTCGTTTTTCAATAAAGTTTTACTACATATTGGACAAAATTTCGAATTTTATATCATAAAAACCAAACCTAATGGAAATACACAATAATAGATTCAGGTTTAGCTTGAAAAGTTATATAGAAACAGTCTTGATATACTCTCGCACAAAACCCCCCTAAATTAGTGTTATCATCACGCGGGACGCGGATCGTTTGAATTCGGTCGGTCCGAGAGGTGCTCACACGCGCGCGGGAAAGTGCAAAAAGAAGACCAATGTGGCTGCGGCGTTAATTACGGCGCGCAGCGCGTTTAAGTGTCGCCATTTAGCCCGGGATTAATCTGTCACGCGGCGAGCGTGAAAAACTATCCGTTTAAGAGGCCGACTCTCATGGAGGACCGTTTGATTGGCAGTTGCTGAGACAGACAGAGAGAGACAGAAAGAGAGGAGAGAGAAAAGGTAGGGGAGGGGGGGAGAGAAACAGAGAAAGAGCTACAGTTCCTTTTGGTGCCGCGCTTCTTCTCGCGTCCCTCTTGCGCTCACACTTATAAAGCCCCTTCGCTTGCGCGTATATATTCGACTCGGAAGTGGCGTGAAAGAGAAGGAGCGAGAGACGAGAGAACAGTAAAGTGGAGGAAGACTTTATTTTCGGTAGTCTGATGACGTTCGCCAACTCGCGCGAGCAAAGAGGAGCGACGTCCCAGTGCGAAGGGAGAGAAGATGAAGACGACAACGTAAAAGAAGAGAAGGGAGAAGAAGAGAAGGAGGTGGAAGAAGAAGAAGAAGAAGAAGAAGAAGTAGAATAAGAGGGTACGAACACAATTTAAAAGATGACGAACAGCCGTACACACAAGTACGACCGAACTTGAAAGATAAAGAGAGTCGTCTCTTTCGCGAAGGAGACGGCGAATGGGCGAGAGATACAAGAAGGAGAGAGAGAGAGGACAGAGAAATGGGAAAGGAACTCACGGGAAAGATAGAAAGACGAAGAGAGAGAGAGAGGGGGGGGAGGGAGGGAGGGCAGAGGAAAGGAGGACCGGGAGGATCACGCGTGCGGTTCCTTCGGTTGTTAGGTCGTTGTTATACAGGTTCTTAAAGGTCCCGTCGTCGCTCCGTCGCTCCATCCGTCTGTCCGTCCGTCCGTCCGCTTTCGTTCGCTCCGTCTCGCTCCGTCTCGCTCCGTCTCGCTCTCGCACGGCCGCGGTGCCACCGACGATCTCTCTCCCTTCCTCCGGTCTCTCGCGACACGCGTGACACGCGAGGCGCCTCGTGTGTGTATGCCGCGTGCGACACGCGCTACCCGATCACCCGACATCGCGACAATCGACCTACTACACGAACCCGCGGCGCGCGAGAGGAAACGATTTCTCGCGGCGCGCAAGAAAGAAAGGGAGATAAAAAGAAGAAGAAGAGAGAAAGGATAAAGGGGGAGAGAGAGAGAAAAAAAGTTACAGAAGCAGAGCGTGTGGAGAAAGCGTGATAACGCGCGAGTGACAGCGGTTCCTAATTACTCGTGCATTTCCGACTCCTTCATCTTCCTCTTTCATTGTCGCGCGAATCGGCGAGGGTGGCCCGTTTTGAAAAGCGGAACTGTACGCGCGCGGAGTGATGAGCATCTGCCCGAAAAGTGTAGTGCGCGAGCGAGAGTGCGAGCGGCTGTGCAGCTGAGAGAAGAGCGATCGTCTCGTGCAAGGTATATTTAAATTGTGTCTGGGCTGGCAGATAGGAAGCTGATACTTTCTTCATCGTTGTCGCTGTCGTTGTCGTTGTCGCCACCGACACCTTCGTATTTCTGTTTTCTTTTTCATTATAGAGAATTTCTTTTTGACGACTCTTCCCCTTTCTCTCTTTCTTTCACACTTTTCCCGTTTCGGAGTTCGACCGAGTCTCGAATAGCGCGTGAGGGGTTGACGAGACGATCGCGGAATTCCGCGTAACTCGATGTTGCTGACGAATCAGAGGAGATCGACGTTCCTGACGGTCGCGGGTGTTCCTTGTTGCGAAGTCGATCGGTTCCGTCTACCTGTAAACGCGAGCAAGCACGTGGACTAGAGAGAACTGTTTATCATTCGTCGAACTATTCAACAATTCGAGTCTGTTCGGAATCGTGGAAGAACTCTGGGCTCGTGATAAACGATCGACGAGGCCTCAGTTTAAGTCGGATCAGGATGATCGTGCCGATCGCGAAACATAATGATCACGACCTATGAGAGATCGATGCTGGTTGTCGCGTCCGCGATCGTCGCAGCCGCCGGTCGGGATCATCTGCGATAATACGACACTTTGCCGAAGAGAGAAAGAAAGACGCGAGGATAAGGAGAGAGAAGCGGCCGCATGGTGCGGCTCCCGCCGGCTTTGAGGATGAGGAGAATAGTATCGCGTAGGATGAAGAGGAATATGGAAGAAACCCCGACGTTCCACTACCGGTGGTACAATACCTCGTGAGGAATCTGAATCTAGAAGAAACAGCCTACCATAAGCCGATTCAACCCATTTGGCGAACGGAACAAGATCGTGAAGACCAGGTCACCACAGGTGACTAATTGCGAGGGGGGAAACAACGAAGAGAATTACGAAACAAAAACTCGGGTTAAGGACTCGCAAAAGTACTTGCGGCAACGAAAGGGGCACGCTCCCCGAGCTCGAGGAGGAGGAGGAGGAGGAGGAGGAGGAAGAGAAGGAGGAGGAGGAGGAGGAGGAGGAGGAGGAAGAGAAGGAGGAGGAGGAGGAGGAGGAGGAGGAGGAGGAGGGGGCGAGAAACGCGTGCCTCTGTGCGAGTCGGGGTGACCGAGGTGTCGACCTCACCCCCGATCACACCGCCAACCAGGTTGGATAATGTGGGCGCCTCTGCTTTTGGCCGGGTTCTTAAGCGGCTGGTGGGGCGCACTCGCGCTCGCTGCGGCACCCCCCGCCATTCGGGACACCCTCGAGAAGACGTCCGGGTTGACGACGAGCGTCATCGAGGCGAGGCGTTATCGTCCACTGATAAGCGTAGTGGACGAGGCCAACGTTGGCGAAATTACGGGGTATCAGTCGCGAGAAATTCCAGAATACCTGAAACACTCCGAAGTTCATTCTGCTCACCGCGACCTTGACGAGATCTCGCCGATTGATTTGAGCCTGGTGCGTTTCGAAGAAGATCCCTTGCGAGATGGAGAACAATTTTTGGGGAACGACGTACGACAGATCTCGTATTACTTCACGACACGTGGAGCAACGTCGCCCGAGGTGGATCCTGGAACTCGGCAGATTACGCCGAGTCTCAAGCGAACAGAGAACCTCGCGAAGGACACCCTTTCCATTGAGACGGAGACGCGCGTTCACGCCTTTCACCCAGAAGTAAACGAGTCTGGTCTGATTCGCGCACCCCGTCACTCCTCAACGCAGGCACCCCTTATATATTCGCCGGTTATGATACCGATGCCGGCGGAATCGTCAATGCAGCGGCCGCGGGTCGCCAGATCAGCGAAGCAACGACCAAAGAACCGCACGAGGGCGGACTCGCCACGCGAACAGCGACGTCGTTGCAGGAACAAGGATAGAGGTTGCCGCGGTCAGAATTGGTGTCCCGATGTTGATGTGGGCAATCGGGCTTTCCTGGCTCCCACTGTGTTCGAGGGGAAGGCTCGCAGCATGTCCTCGCGGAGGAAACCCGGCTTAAACTACGCGGTGACCTTCGAGGTAAAACAGGTATACAAGAGCCAGCCGGGATTTCAGCCGCTGCAGAAGAACGACAGCGTGCGACTACATTTCCGCGACAAATCGGTGCCTGGCAAGTCGACCGTTTGCAACGGCCACGAGATGGGCAATAAGCAGCAGCAGCAGCAGCAGCAGCAACAGCAGCAACAGCAGCAGCAGCAGCAGCAGCAGAAGCAGCAGCAACAGCAGCAGCAACAACAGCAGCAGCAGCGCGATAATCCAAGTGGTGTGGTGCGAGCCAATATTAAAAGGGGCAAAGTGTATCTAGTGTTTGTGAATCGCGTGGGACCCAGAAACTTCACGATCCTCGGCGAGCCGGTGATCCGAAACAAGAAGAACGAACAGGTCGTCCAAGCTGTCGTTCGACCGGATTACGGTAAGTCCCAAAAGTTATGCATATTTATAATCCGTGATTAGTAAATCGGGTGCGTGCTGATGGAAAGTGATGATCGAAAGTTTGACGTAAAAAAGAAAGTATTATTTTACTCCAATCTCTATATATGGAAAAAGGTCTTTAATTAAAATTCTGGTAGGTTCAATCAAAAGGGTACAAATTCAGATACTCATAACATCTATCGAGTTTTCTAATCGAGATAATCAGAAATTTCATTACGATAATCAGGGTTCTAATTCATATGATCGAAATTTGTTTTATTTGTACGTCTTGTTACAATCAGAACATTTTTTCAGTATAGTTCATAACAGTTAATAATGCGCATGAAAACGATTTATTAAAACATTTATGGTGAAATGAATATACAAAAATTTGTTTGTATACTTTCTTCAAATAATCAAATATTGTTCAGAGAGAAATAATTTTTCTAAACTTTTTTATAATGGTACTTGTTGCACTTTTTATTTCACTGTTTTCGATTCAAGTTTTTTTTTACTGCAACATTAATTTATCTCAGATGATATTTCAGATATTTTCAAAGATGTGAATTAATTTTAATAATTTTTTTTATAAGAGAGAACCGTTATTATATCTATATATTGATTCTGAAAATCTAATTTTTCAATGAAAATTCTTATAAAATGATGTTGGTGCCGTTAAAGCACTCTTAGATGCAACGTTAATTAGGACGCTAATTAAGAAGCTGCTGCATTATAAAATATTTGGAATTTTTGTTATTGTCAATATCACATTTTAATAATTCAGAATATTAAATATACTATATTTTTGCATTTATTAAGTAAATGATCTAAAAAGAGTTGATAAATGAAATTATTCTACAAAAAAGAAGAATAATTATTTTCCTTCGTAGAATAATTTCATTTATTAACTCTTCTTTTGGACCACATTCTCACAATAATAATTATTGTAGCTTATTGCGATTTGTAAGTTTTATTATTCTAAAAAAACAATAACTGCAATGATGAAATTTCTACAATAACTGCTATACATTTACTATGCATATTATACTCTCGTGAACATAAATTAATGAATAAATGTATGCAAAACTTTTTATCGCATGCTACATATATAGTATTATATTTCTTGTTGAAAAATTTTAAACATTATCCTTTAAGGATGTAAAGACTCGCATACTTTAGTAAAAATAAAGTATTTGAACGTAATGGAACAAAGTTGTTCTTTTAAACTCGATTAATTTCTAATTTCACTTTAGCGGAATCATAATTAAAGACCCTAGCTATCTAGGTACTAAGTTTTCGAAATATACTTGGCAAAAATTATTAGCTCGACTTTCGACGGTGAATATCGATCCGTAAAATACGCCAATAAATCCGTTGCATATTTGAGCACGCGAAAGAATTTAACATCCCTAAGGGCGTTCGGGAATAAACAGGAGCACTCCGCGTGATATCTCACTTGTTCTCGATAATTGTTCGTCGCAGTGCAATCGCTTCGATCGATTGTGATGACTCGAGGGTACGATCGAGCTTGATATACTCTACCTGATAGTTTTTTAGTTGAAACACGTCGTCGATGTAGAATTCTCGATCAGTTTTGGGATATAGCACGGCAATATTGTTAATATGGAGAGGGATGCTCCAACAGGCGCGTGTACATATTTCCCTTTTGCAGACAGCCCGGCAATATGGTACCTAACTTATGTAAACGCACGTGAATATTTTAATTCGCGCGTGATATATCACGGATATACAGGAACATTTTATGTTTAAATTCAGTACTAACTTTTATTAATTTACAGAACATGTTTTAACTGTTAATTAAAGTATAAACTCCTACAAAAAAATTGTACGGAAATTTAGTGGAATTTATTTTCGACTCAAATGCGATCTTTATTAAATCGGTATAAATTCATAATTTTTGCGGTATTGCTTTAATACTCTTTCATTTCCTTTCGTAGTATGACAATCTTGTTTTAAATTAACTTTTATATTTGACATTAGAATGATTGAAAATTTACGGCAAACAAGATTGAGATATTGAAGTCATGGAATTTTTAATGGACACTGTTTTCGAATATTTTCAGTCGAGACGTTTTAATGATGTTTGCGTATCTAATAATAAAATAAAATATAATGGAGTAGAATATAGAAAGGAGAGGATACTAGACAGGAAAAAGAAAAGAGAGAAGAGTAGGAGAGAGAGCATGAAATTGTACGAAATTCACATCTAATCTCGGCAAGATCATAATTGTTACAAACGAAGCTTTGTGAGAATAGCGATGAAAGAGAGAGAAGGATTACTTTAAAAATCACTGCTAATAAACATCTTTTCTCGCGCTTCCGCGAATTTCAAGGACAGCGTAATCCGACGGAGTATCCAAGCGATCAGATTATCTCGCGTCGCTATAATGCAGGACGCGTACGTAGAAGAGAGGCGATCGTCGGGACGCCGTGCGTCGCGCTTATATTTAACCCGCCACGTAAGTCGCGAATCCGCGTCGCGTCGCGTCGCCTCGCACTGAATTTTGCGCTCGCTCGAGATACATAAAGTATATATACATCTCAGCTTGTTTCTCTCGTACTCGCACACGCGGACGCTTCGCAATCGTCGATTAATAATACGTGACATCGCTCTCGCCAATCATCGGGTTGCGTTGCGTTGCGTCGCGTTGCGTCGACGGTGCTTAACGAGCGGTGAGTTTTTGAAGGTGGTCCAATTTGCTGCCGGCGTCGGTTCAATGCGCTTCCACCTCTCCGCGCGATCCGGCGCGGCGTCGCCGAGACCACTGGCTCCCCACCTCATCTTGGTAGCTGCATGGACCGTTGCCGGATGACTCTACCGCTTGACTCGCATGACGACCTTCCGCGGTCGATTTATCGCGCCGAACGTGACGAACGACGGAACAGGGTCATGTTCCCTTTCCGAGAGACATGCTCATGAATTCCTACAAGTGACATCTCGAGGGAGATTGGGGAGGGAAATTTTAATCGTGCATATGTTTATTTCAACTTTTATTTGAATTTATTTAATGCTAATTATTTCATTAGAATTCTTAATTAAAGCTTTTAGCAATTAGGAATTAAGAATAGATTTGATTAAAATTAATATTTGTGATGAATTATAAATATATTATTTATACATATATATATAATTAAGAATCTTAATGAAATATAATTAGCTTCACTTTCAGAAATTTGCTGAATTTATAAATCTTTGTTATAAATTAATGTAATCCAAAGATTTATAAATTTAGCAAATTTCTTAAATTGAAGCTAATTATATTTCATTAAGATTCTTAATTAAGGTAATTTTCGACAAACTAGGGATTAAGAACAGATATTTATTTAAAATTGTTAAAATGTGATTTTTGATCTCATTATAAATATATATTAAAATTCGATATAAAGATAATAAATATAAAGAAATGTCGAGATACTTTTTTTTATGTACATTCTACAATTAATGTAATTCGAATTTGGCAAATTTCTTAAACTGAATGATCATATCTACATTGTTGCGTAAAGAAACGAGATGAAAATAGATTACTTCGCAGAAAGTTCTTTTCTACATTGAAAATTCCAACGTCTCGTTTGTGTAGCAGTAGAAATTACCGGAGCGATTGAAACGCGAGTAAGGAACGATCTGATTTGATTTACCTTAAACGCTCGGCTCGGAAAAGTAGAAAGCCGCCGGCAGTACGACAAATTCCGCGTAGGCATTGGAGGATGACGGGGTCGGTGTCGCAGGCTTGCAAATTTTCTTCTTATCTTGAACTTCGTGTCGTGACGGAACGTAAGCGGTAATCGTGAGCGCGCGCGTCGGTTCCACCTGTCCCTTAACAGTTAACAAGTGGCGCATAATCGCGACGACGACAGACAGGTCGGAGCGAGGCACACGCGTTCAATCTCCAACGTTAACGGAATAAGAGGCATTAATGAAACGTGATAGTTAGCGGCCACTTCATATCGCTACTACTACCCTACATATAAAGTATCCGAGACACGTTTGTGCTGATTTCCTCAAATGATTTGTCATTACTTTTTTCTTCGGTTGTGACACGGTAGAAACTGTTTAATGTTGGATGGATAGAAAATAATTTAGATACTTGAATCGATATCGTCATTTATTTTTATATTCATTGATTCCTATTTTATTATTGTTAATTCTTGTTAATAAATAATAACTACTGATCTGCTCGCAATCAACAATTCATTCGTTAGTGAAAACATCGAAGTGAAGAGCTTCTTGTGTAAATTGTAAATAATGATATAGGTATTAGAATTTTATTCCATAATAATCTTTGTTTTCAAAGGCTAAATATTTTGTGTTTTTGTTTTTATATAACTTGAGATATATTATTAATGTACATATATTAATGAATTATTGACGTAATCGATGCGAATATTTGCACTAAAATTATACGCTGTGATCATAAACATCATAGAAAATATATTAAGAGCAATGCAGCATTTCACGTTTGTTGCAAAAATTGATTCTGATCAATATTTACCCTCTAAAATCAGTAAACAATCGGACAATAAAAACTAGGAAAACAAACTGAAAAATAACTCTTTTAAAAAGAAGTTTTTGATCATTATAATTACGCGAGAGGTTGGTAAACCATTAACCAACAATTTGTGCACTAATTAAATAATTGCGTTATACCGGGGCACGCAATAATGCGTGGTTAAATTACTAACATCATTCCTGGTAATTTGTGATAATTTATATATAGATAGTGTATTTACATTCAAATTATTTTATCTAATCTTTGATTCAAATAATTAAATAACAATATAACGATAAACGGGCAAATAAGAGTTGATTTTTTTAAATGTGAATGTATAAAGATTATTAATAAGAATTAAATACATACATAATAGAAACTAGAAATATCATTACATGTTTCAACTCTTATATTGAGCCATCTTCAGATATTATCCTCCTCTTGCTTAATATCTGAAGATGGCTCAGTATAAGAGCTGAAACGTAATAATATT